GGGGCCGAGCAGGAGCGTGGCGCGTTGCACACTGCTGAAATGGCTACAAACACAAGGCAGTGGTAGCAAAACGAATGCGCAAACAAAACAGCCAGTCGGGGCACGTGATGACAAGGCTGCTGGAGAGCCGGCGCGAGCCTGTCATAATGCCCATGCACAAAAGCCAGAAAATGGCATGGATGTGGCACAACTGTCAGATTAGGGCTACGGCAGAATGTGCCTGAGTCCGCCGATTGACAGTGCTTGTCGAAGCGGGTGTCAAGCAAAGCGCCAGGCACACACTTTTAAATCTGTGAGCATGAAGTGAGGTCCACTGGTTCGTGAGAGTGCATCTCCAAGGCTGGCAATGCGGGCATTGCAGGCTGAAGACGCACTATGATGAATTCAAGGTCTTCAAGGCAAGACAAAACCGCGTTCAGAAGGCGGGTTGTCTTGGGGCCAACACAGGCGTGCAAGAGTGAAACTAAGGCTGCCTCAGAGTGCTCGTGCCAGCGATGCTGCACTGCGAAGTTCCTGAAGTTAGGGTCGCAGGCAGCTGTCAGGAGGCCCCTGGCTGAATGACTTGTTGTCTGGCCAAAGAAACATGCTGTAGGTTTGCTCCAGTCAAAGGCGGAGGCAAACAAGGCAAGGCTGTTCACGGTGAAGGTTTGGCCCTGATTGGCATATGCAATGGCAAAGGCACACAGTGTCAAAAGGCGGGCAATATGCATGGAGCCCTCGCGAAGGCCAATTCGCAGGATGATGAAGTCCAGGTAACGACGAAGGTGGTTCAGTAGGGCAATCTTGTGTTGCCTGGCAAAGAATGAGTCTGCCCAGCAAGCAAGCAGGCTAATCCATTGCTCCACCAATTCAGGGCACGGCTGAATCTCGTGGGCTGAAAGCGCCATTACAGCGTGTTGGGCGAAATGGCTGTGGTATCCAGGCACATTGTGGTAAGCGCTGAGGGCTGGGATCTGCTAGGTTCCCGGCCTGTTGCGCCGACCTGGCGGAAATGTCTCGCAGTGTTGGCCCAGATGTTGACAAGCATGTGCTGTTACATGTGTAGCAGGCACACTGTGTTTTTCTCGGCAAAGAGTGGTGCCCCATCATGTGAGGGCGTGGTATGCAAAGGCCGCCCAGTGCTGTACAGACTCCACAAGGCATGACAATGCACGAATGCCCTCGATCAGGGTAAGGGCAACAAGGCAAACGGCGATGACATGGCAGAAGAGCTTAATGCGCAGAAGGACTGTGTAGAACTCGTCCAGCATAACCTCAAGGTCCAAGTAGCTTCTGGCTAATGTGGTGTGGATGGCGTCTAAGGTGTCTCCGTCACACTCAGAAAGGCAAGGCGTTGGGTCGGAGAGTGAACGAGCGCTATGCAATAGATGCAAATCAACATTCGACTGATGGCCAAGTGTGAATGCAAACACAGTACCATGCACTGCGTAAAAAATTTAAGGCCTGGAGAGCAGGGCTTGTAAAGGTCCCGGAGGAACCTTAGTTGCCAAGGGCTCGCGGCGCAAGGCAGCAACCCCGGAGGGAAGCCATTCCAGAGCGGACTCAAGAATGCATGACCGGGGTCATGACGGACAAGCCTGATCGCAGGGCTTGGTGAGGTTTTTTTAGGAGCCTCAAATGCTAAGGCGGCAGCCTAGGCGGACTCAAGAATGCATGACTGCGGTCATGACTGAAGGCAATGCGCCTTGTGGAGGTCCCGGAGGAGCCTCAATTGCCGAGGGCTCGCGGCGCAAGGCAGCAACCCTGAAGGGAAGCCATTCAAGAGCGGACTCAAGAATGCATGACTGCGGTCATGACTGAAGGCAATGCGCCTTGTGGAGGTCCCGGAGGAGCCTCAATTGCCAAGGGCTCACGGCGCAAGGCAGCAATTTCGGAGGGAAGCCATTCAAGAGCGGACTCAAGAATGCATGACTGCGGTCATGATTGAAGGCATTGCGCCTTGTGGAGGTCCCGGAGGAGCCTCAATTGCCAAGGGCTCGCGGCGCAAGGCAGCAACCCCGGAGGGCTGCGATTCAAGAGCGGACTCAAGAATGCATGACTGAGGTCATGGCTGAGTGCAGTGCACCTTGAGAGGGTCCCGGAGGGGATGCGATTCAAGAGCGCACTCAAGAATGCATGACTGGGGTTCTGATTGAAGTCAGTGCGTCAGTGAAGGTCCCGGAGGAGCTTTAAAATACCTGGACACTAGTGTCATGGCAGCAACCCTGGAGGGATGCAGTTCTAGAGCGAACTCAAGAATCAACAACTAAGACCGTAGCGGAGGGACAGGCGTACACTGCAACACATGCTTGAAAAGGCTCACGAGTGCTGCAGGCGAGGTTGCCAGTCAAATGCATTGAGGCAAAGTGCAATGTAGTGGGCTCAAGATCCAAATGCAATGTCGCGGCATTTTTATACATTAGCATGCGGTGTTGAAGGCAAGGCTGTCACGAGGGCAGGGCGTCGGCCAGTGCATGTGCATCACCACAGGCTGCGACAATTGTCACATGGTTGAAATGCGAAGGCTGAGGCGTCGCGCTGTGCCAAGTGGTGGCAACGCCGATGATGAAAAACCTTGCGCTTCGGCAGGATGTGCACAGGCTCTGGGCGGAACGGCGGCTGAAAACCAAAAGACCCAAGCAGTGCCTTGCGGTGCTGGCGCAAAAGGCACCCGATGGCAAGGCAAGTCAAGCCGGACACAAGGGCTGTGTAAATGGCGAGGCACACTCCAAAACACAGCAAGGCGTCCATGGCGGCGTTTCCAGTTTCAAATGAAACCGCAGGTTTGGGTCAAGGCTAGGAGCAAAACGGCCAACGCGTAGTTCGATTCACAACATGCCCTAAACACAAGGGAAAAGAAACCCTAAGCGACCCTGTGGTGACTAAGGGGCTCACACTACAATTGTGACTGCCAATGGGCCCACAGACCCCAACAAGAAATACTGCTATCTGGAGTCTGTGGGGGTCTGTGACAAAAACAACGGAGCCCAGAGACTCCTAAAAACAGCCAGTCGCTGAGACACAATGTTTCGTGAGACTCTGCGGGGACCGAGGGGCTCACACAACAATTGTGACTGCCAATAAGCCCACAGACCCCAACAAAAAAACACTGGGACCAACTGCTTTCGAACAGTTCCACTCCCCCCACATCTCAAAGATTGTTGCCAGCTATCTGGTGTCTGTGGGGGTCTGTGACACAAACAACGGAGCCAAGAGACCCCTACTGAGACACAATGTTTCGTGAGACTTTTTGGTGACCGAGGGGCTCACACAGCATTTGTGACTGCCAATGCGCCCACAGACCCCAGCAAAAAACATTGGGACCAACTGCTTTCGAACAATTCCACTCCCCCCACATCTCAAAGATTGTTGCCAGCTATCTGGTGTCTGTGGGGGTCTGTGACACAAACAACGGAGCCAAGAGACCCCTAATGAGACACAATGTTTCGTCAACTGCTTTCGAACAGTTCCACTTGCCCACATCTCAAAGCTTGTTGCCAGGCAGCCGGTTCCCGCTATCTGGTGTCTGTGGGGGTCTGTGACACAAACAACAAAGCCAAGAAACCCCTAAAAACAGCCAGTCGCTGAGACACAATGTTTCGTGAGACCCTTTGGTGACCGAGGGGCTCACACAACATTTGTGACTGCCAATGGGCCCACAGACCCCAACAAAAAACACTGGGATGAACTGCTTTCGAACAGTTCCACTCGCCCCACATCTCAAAGATTGTTGCCAGGCAGCCGGTTCCCAGTTATCTGGTGTCTGTGGTGTTCGTGGGGCTCTGTTGGCCCAGTGGTTGTCAGAGACCTGGGGCTTGTTCAACAAGCACCATGTCTGACAACCACTCTCTGACACTTGCTTCGTAAAATCTGTGGGCATAAATGCCAAAAAAAATCAACAAGCACCATGTCTGACAACCACTCTGACACTTGCTTCGTACAATCTGTACTCAAAAACGCCAAAAATCAAATTGGCCAACAAACTCTCAAAATTGCTTGGGGTCTGTTTGGCGCATTGCGTTGGTCAATGTTTGTGGGGCTCTGCGGGCCCAGTGGTTGTTAGAGACATGGGGCTTGTTCAACAAGCACTATGTCTGACAACCACTCTCTCTGACACTTGCTTCGTAAAATCTGTGCTCAAAAACGCAAAAAATGAAATTTGTCAACAAACTCTCAAAATTTCTTGGGGTCTGTTTGGCGCATTGCGTTGGTCAGCACCATGTCTGACAACCACTCTCTAACACCTGCTTCGCAAAAATCTGTGCTCAAAAACACCAGAAACAGACAAAATCCTGTCAAAAGCGAATCAAATTTGTCAACAAACTCTGAAAGTTCCTTGTTAGATGCGGGCCCATCGGTTAATCACTGCGCGATCCATATCGAAAAAGAAATCAGTGGTTAACCAAATCCGGCAAGCAAAAGAAACGATATCCAAGAGTGTCTCAACACGCAGGCGTGTTCAACATGACAGATGTGTCTGTGTGCGTTACCTGGACAAATGGGTAGACGGTTATCGCGAAGATATGTAAAACACCTCTTTTTCGTTTCCCAGAAAAATGGATAGACCAAGAAAATGTCTGAAACCAAATCAACATGTAAGGGAAACCTTCAATTCAGTGACCGTCCAACCCCGTTGGCATGCCCAAAATGAGCGACCATGTTAACCAAATCCGGCAAGCAAAAGAAACGATATCCAAGAGTGTCTCAACATGCAGGCGTGTTCAACATGACAGATGTGTCTGTGCGCGTTACCTGGACAAATGGAAAAATGGATAGACCAAGAAAATGTCTGAAACCTAATCAACATGTAAGGGAAACCTTCAATTCAGTGACCGTCCAACCCCGTTGGCATGCCCAAAATGAGCGACCATGTTTCCACGGCTCCGAGAGCGACGATGCTGCGCTGCTGACAGCTACGTCACCACCACAAGGGTTGTAGTGCGAGCAACGCCTACAGCATTTCCGAAGGCAACATCGGACAGCTCCTTTGGAGCGACTGTAGGGCGACACAAAAAATTGTTTCAGTCCGCTGCTTTTAGCGCAACCAAGCTCTTCAGGTCCTCCACATTCAGCTGCCGCGCAGCTTTCAACAACTTCTTCTTTCGTCGGTTGGCGTCCTTGGTTTGCGCACGGTTCACCTTGATTTGCTGTCGCAAGTGGGCCCGCTGCTGCCGCAACTCTTCCAATTCGGCCTTGAGCACCTGCCACGCACAAGCAGGCCGGCTTTTTTCAGCAAGCGCCAAAAAAGTGCTGTGGTTTGACGGCACAACGCGTGAAGCAGTCTGGAGTCTTGGAGTCTTCAAACTGTCGCCCCCCCAAAAAAGGTGTGAAAAAAAAACACATTTCCTCGCAGGCCGGATTCAGGACACCGAGGGTACCCATGTGTGGGCCAAAGAAGGAGAACCAGTAACACTAAATCACATTGCTGGCAGAACTCCTGCAAAATGCACATTACAAAGTAACTGCGGACTTCATTTTCCTTCAGTCCAGGCTTCGCACATTCTCGGCTGGAACCGAATGCATGTCAGACCACTCGACAACGGCAGAGACATTGAAAGAGAGCCGTCGGTTTGGAAACATTTGGCAGGCTTGCCCACAGCTTGGTGGACCAGGAGCTATCACAGGTAGCTGCTTCCACCCCAAAGCCTGCAACAATTTACGGGCAACATGCTCTTGCTTCTCCATGATGCCGGTGGTGAGAAACGCACGGCGCCACTCCTTCTCACGCAGCACAGCCTGCACGGCTCCAGCCACCACTTCCAGCCAACTCACCTTGCGGGGCCCTGCTGCGGGCTTCATTCCACCGTCTTTCGATAGCACACCGGAAAGATCGAAAGACGCAAACGTCTAATGGCTGTAACAGGCACGTGAGATGGGTCGGCACCATGACCATGCGAACCCCCCGCGCTTGGGCGAACGTGAAAATGTCCAAACCCAAGTGAGAAGGGCACATGTCACACAGCAGTATCAGCGGCTTGTCACGCGGCAAAGCAGCGCCTCAAGATATCTCTGCATCAGCTGGTGTGTCATCCAAGCCGAGCGTTCTCTCCAGACAAAGAGGCTGTGATATCTGGCCCTGGCCGTGCGCGTGAAACTTAAATCAAATTGGTGCGTATTCCCTACGAAGATCGTTGGCAGGAGCAAGTTGAACGCGTGATCCGAAGAAATAGAAGCGATGCAGGCGCAGCGTGCCCGCCGCTGGTCGGAGCGAACTCGAACGCCCCCGTGATAAGCCCTCAGCACAGTCCCCCGAGGCTCCAAATGCCACGACAAACTCAGCTCGTCCATGTTCACCACAATGCAGTCGTCCGAAATTGCTTCGTCTCACCACGAAAAACCAAAGCAAGGACCTGGCAACCATGACCCAAAATGAAGCCCAAACGGCCCCCCAATTCTGAAGGGTTGAAAATTTGCAGCAACAAGTCCCAAACCATTCCTAGAATCGGCCCCCCGAAAACGGGGGGTAAAAGGCGCCGCGCACAAATATATTCTGGATGCGTCGCGCGCGTTTCATTACCAGTCCCAGCCTTCTCCTGCAAAATGCCGCGGCCAACAGGAGGACTAGGGCGGAGTTTCCCAATTTTGGCGCTCCATTGCAGCCGAAATTTCCGCAAGAACTTTTGCTGGGTTCTCTGAGTGCCAAGTAAAGGGCGAATGCAACCATGTCAGTGTTGCGATCAAAAAACTTCGGCATGTGCGCCAATGCACACTGAATCAGGCAGCTGCCGAATTGCGGACGCAACCTCCACGCTGTTTCGTTTTGTATCTTTCACCAAATCTCACAAGCGAAAGCAGAGTATGAAAAAGAATCGCGCTCGCTCCAACGCCTGCCGCGGTGGATCTACACATGATTTTGGACAATATCTTCTGACCCTCGTGGGGCGTTACATGAAAGCAAAACGCATCCTCGGCTTTCCTCATCGAACGTTTGGCCAGGATTTGTCGCTGGAAAAAATGGCTCCCTGAGGTATTCAAAAACAAGCAGACCTGCAACCAGGGTCTCAGAAGAGAGGCCGCAGCAGGGCCGCCCGTATGGCCTGGCTTCGTCTCAGCTGTCTTCTAACATTCGCATCCGGAACGTGAACCTCATGCCAATCATTGCAAACCGCGAGACCGGCGAAACCCGCTCAACAACATGGAGCCAGAACAGCATGTCTCCTTGCAAATCAAAAGGCTTCGCACCCACACGGGCCTGGCACAAACGTCCATCAACGCGCAAGCAAAACCAAACCTGGAAGGCCTGAACCAAAGCCTCGTCAGAGATGCCGTAATCTTGTGGGGCCACCAGCAATGAATACCAGGAAGAAATTTTTGCGCGCGTGGCAACAGAGGCCGCCGCAAAGCAAAAGCTGGAGGGCCCGCTACAAAGCAACGAGATTCGATGGTCTCCGAAAAAAATGTACCGTGTGTGGCAAATACCCTGGGCGTCTGCTTCGCGGCAGCGCCGCAACTAGGATTCTGCCCCCTCAAATCCGGCCTCACAGCACGTGGTTTGCGACAGGGCTTGGCGAGCTGGAGCTGACCGAAAAAGAGGCTGCAAGCAAGCGACACCATCATACACTTGCAACTGTCCCGAACGGCCCAACCCCAAAAAACGAAGGGGGGCAAACCAACCCAAAAAAACAAAACAAGGCCAGAACAACCCCAAAAACTGAAGGGGGCCAAGCCAGCCTCAAAAACTGAAAGAGGGGCAACCCAACCCCAAAAAACGAAGGGGGCCAAACCAACCCCAAAAAACGAAGGGGGGCAACCCAACCCCAAAAAATGAAGGGGGCCAAGCCAACCCCACAAACCAAAGAGGGGCAACCCCAAAAAATGAAGGGGGGCCAAGCCAACCCCAAAAACCGCATGGGGCCAACGCAACCCCAAAAATGTGAAGGGGGCCAAGCCAACCCCAAAAACCAAAGAGGGGTCAACGCATGTTCTGCGCAGGACACCTGATGTTGCCTCGGGAAGGGCTAATTAGCCGCTGGAGGAAGCTGACTCCGACCAATGACCGGAATATTGGAAACTCAACATGTTGCATTTTTGCACCATGAGCTCAGTGACGGCTTGAGCAAGCCACGCAGTGAGCAGCGCAGTGTACCACCGCCATTCCAACAGAGCGAGTGCTCAAACAGCAGCGGGTTAACAAGTTCGTGAAGCTCAACATATGTCATACATGCTACTACTGGAGACCCCAAGAACCAAAGGGGGGCCAACCAACCCCAAAAAACGAAGGGCCAAACCCAAAAAGTGAAGGGGGCCAAGCCAACCCCAAAAACTGAAGAGGGGCAGGGCAACCCAACCCCAAAAAACGAAGGGGGCCAACCCAACCCCAAAAACCGAACAAGCCGCCAACCCCAAACTAAAAGGGGGCACGCCAGCCCCACGAAGGGGTGCAAACCAATTGCAAAAGCGAAGCAGGCCAAGCCAACCCCCAAAAACCGCATGGGGCCTACGCAGCCCTAAAAAATGAAGGGGGCCAAGCCAACCCCCAAAAACCAAAGAGGCGCAGCCCTAAAAAATGCAGGGGGGCCAGCCAACCCCAAAAACCACAGAGGCGACTCTCCAACGCATGTTCTGTGCAGGACACCTGATGTTGCCTCGGGAAGGGCTATTAGCCGCTGGAGGAAGCTGACTGCGACCGATGAACGGAATATTGAAAAAACTCAACATGTTGCATTTTTGCACCATGAGCTCATTGACGGCTTGAGCAAGCCACGCACCGCCATTCCAATGCGTCACACATGCTACTACTGGAGACCCCAAAAACCAAACTGGGGCAAGCCAACCCCAAAAAACGAAGGGGGCCAAACCAACCCCAAAAACTGAAGGGGGCCAAGCCAACCCCAAAAACTGAAGGGGGGCAACCCAACCCCAAAAAATGAAGGGGGCCAAACCAACCCCAAAACCGACGGGGGCCAAGCCAACCCCAGAAACGAAGCCAAGAAAGGTCGGTATCGGCACTGACGCCGCCACCACTAATTGAAGAAGGGGTAATGGAAAAACCTAGCCCCGAGTTGCAAGATGGGGCTTGTCCAACAACATTGGCTGCTGCGGGCAAATAGAAACTAGCAGTTCCAACCCGAAAGCTGAAGCTAGACACCCCTGCCACTCTGCTGCAGCGGTTGCGCCTTTTACGGATTGTCTGGAATGGCGCCATGTTCCTGCCAGAGAGGTGCGTCAACATGAATGTACGTTGAATTTGCATCAAGCCAAGGGTCAGCGTCACGTGACCAGACATTGGTACAGATCACCATGGGCACGGCGTAGACAAACACCTGGTACGCGTGCTGCTGCGTCGGCGACTGGCCAAGCATGACAGGCGTCGCACCCGCTTGAAACAACTGCCGATTCTGCAACACCAGCTCCGGCTCACACTCATCGAACACCAGGCGCTTGTGGCGCGATCGCTGAAATTGCGTGAGGTTCGGCTGCTGCGCATTTTGGCACGACACCACAAGTGTTTCAGCTGGCCCAAAGAGAGACACAGCGAAGGATGTTTTTCCATATTCCGAAGGACCGTGCAGGATCAGGAAAGGAAATCTCGAACGAGAGCCAAACCCAGAAGTGTATAATGCAAGCCAATCAAGCGCACATCCAACACCTCCCGCAGGGCCGTGTCGCGGCGCTGCTTAACTTGCTCCTGCACAAAAGAAATCTCGGCCATGTGATTGCGGATGCCTCGGACCCGGCCCTGCAACAATTCTTGAACGGCAACGTCATCAGCAAGCTTGTAGAAACGCCACAAGGTCATGATGGAAGAAGCGTCCACAACAAAGTCATGGAACCGAGCATAATTGCATTGACAGAAGACCGATCCATATTTTGGGGCCTGTACATAATAATGGGCTGCGTCCAGCTGACGCTGAAGAGCTTTGCCGCGACCTTTGGTCCCACGCACATGCGGGCAGGAGCCCCGAAACGCCCAAAGACGCAAGGCCACCGAACCGCAAGGCTTTGTCTGGGGTAGAAACTGCCACGTGGAAACGCACCAAATTGTGTCGCTTGCTTCTCTTCAAACTCAATTCCATCTTGCATGACACACGCACCCAGCCCTGCCCTTCCGCAACAGTGTAAATATGGGCAACAAACGCACGCCACAAGTCTTGGTAAAAGGTCGAAACATCGACAGCAGCTACCAACTCACCTTCGGAGCCTTGCATCTGGGCCAAAGCAGCAGCGTCTGGATCTTGCGCGCCCCACGCACCATTGTATGTGAGCAAGTAACCATGGAGACGTTCATCCTTCCCATCATTGGACACACCGGCTGCCGCAGGAGAAACTGGGTCGCAACGTGTTCGCTGGCTGTTTGACAAACATGGCAAAGGTGGCGCTGGAAAAGCGCTGTCTGTCAGGTGCGCTAGCCAGCCAACAGTGTGCTCTGGTGACATGGATGCCCACAACTGCTTGGCGTGGGCCAAACCAGCATTGTACCCATTCTGCTTTAAGTCTGGCGACTCCCGCAACAGCCGGATGCACCACTGGTCCCGCAGGGCGGATCGCTCACGATGTGACAACGCGGCTACAAAACCATCAGCTGGAGCTCCAGAAGGCAATGTCCAAGGCGGGGCCTTGCTGGCCCAATCAATGCGGCGCCTTCGTCGGGGCGGCGCCCCAGCAACATCAAAGGCTTGGATTGGCAATGGACGTGGCGTGGCCTCTGCAAACAAAACTTCGTCTCGCAAGGCGCCTTCGACCTCCAACATCAAAGTCTCGAGAGCTGCTTCTAAATCTTCTGGCGCCGCTTCGTGCGCCACCAACATGGCTCTGCAAAAGCGGACCGAAGCACAGAGTGAAACCAAGAAGGTTGAGCAAGCTACAAAACGGCCGGACAGAGCGGCCCGGATGAGCCCGGATGCACACGCGGATGCGCGAAACCCAGTGCCCGACTTTGCCCCGGATGGCAAA